TTCTCTCCATTTCCCCCATCCAGACAGATGAGTTCTCCCTCTGTGGTTCTCCCTCCTGTGCTGGGAAATGAAATGGCTTGTCACAAAACCAAGGTTGGAACATCTGAGTGCACTGCAGTATTTTTCTTGAAGAATCTGTAACTGCTATGAGCTTCCTGTCTGCTTCTTGAGAAGCTAAACACAATCTTTAAGATTATATCTCAGGGATATAGTAATACAAGTAAACCCAACCTCTTCTGGACCTTCAGCTACTGTAACATTTAATGTTTTTCCAAGTTACAATCCATGCTTTGAATTATAGTTCAATTTAATTTTTTTGCTCATATTTGCAGTATTTAACTTTGCCAGTTTTACTATGAGGTACAGAACCAACTCCAACTCACAAAACAAATAGAAGGCTCCCCCATGTGTTTCTCTGCTGAAAGACCTATCAGGGTTGGATCTGCAGGACTCACTGCAAATTTTTATGGAGAGTGAATGACAGGATATGGGGATCCAGAGGAGTATCACTGTGGAGCAGTGACCTTCCTACAAAAACTGCTGCAGGAAAATGAGGCTGATCCGATATAAATTGCCAAACAGTGATTTTGGGGACAGATTCTATTTTGATAATTTGAAATTAATAAATGTAAGGCATACTTAGCTTTTTCCTCCTCTTACTTTATAGGAATATTATCACCACAGGCGAAATTTGTGCCTCTGGTGAAACTGTTATTCTTGTGTTCTTAATGCTGGCAGGTTTTGGTTACATAAAAAGGGTGTGTGAAACAGATCCATTGCACCCTGTGAAGCTACTCCAACTTATCACATCCAGCCTATAATGTCTTTTAAGACAATCTCTGTGTGCTCGAGGTACTCATGTAATAACATTTCTGAATTAGCTCCAGCGTGTTTCTGTCAACATCAGTGCTAGCCCCTTGATTTATACAAACAGTGCAGGTTCTGTGTCCTTTCCACCAGCTGATTTAAGTAATAACAATAAAAATGCCTATTAAAAACCTGTAGGTGCTGTAGCAGTTTTAAAACAATCGAATACCAGCACTCTAAAAAAACCAAATGATATTCAACAGAAACAAATTACCTGAAAAAAAATCACCCAGCTGATTAATAAATAGGCTACAGAATTGCTCCTCTTAGGTCTGTGAACAAGCCTTCAACCACTACACAAATGCTGGCAATTTGAAGAACTATTCAGTGTTACCAGTTATTCAGAGAAACTCTGTAAATGCAGAGATGAAATCTTGATATGAGTTTTTTTTTTTACTTACACTGAATTTATGTGTTAATGGGTTGAGTCACTCACGGCACCCAATTTGTTTCTGAATAGTAGTGATCTGTGGATCACTACAGAGATATGTTACTCCTGGATCTGTTCTGAGCACACCTGATGGCCTCAATGCTCACTTCCCTGTTTCCTGAGCCTCCAAACCTCCTGTGCGTGGATGGTATACACTAAATGTGAGACTGTCAACCCCCAGGTGGCCATGCTATCCCCAATCTTTTATCAGTGATTTATGTGTAAACTCTTCAAGATACCTTTCCTGGTTAAAGATAAGAAAGCTCCTGAAGTTTGTTTTCTCTCTACGGATGTGCCTGGCTTTGAATGTTTGATCCAGCTGATGAACTGTGAGATGAAAGTGTTTATGCCAGGTGTGTACTGGGATTGCCTCTGAGGAGTGAATCATATCATAAGCCTGTCAATGAAACTTAAAAATCTTTAAAAATATTGTAAACAGAGGCTACTTGAGACAAAAAATATTTTCCAGCACTTCATAAAACAAAGAGTGAGCAAGTATCTGTTGGAACTGAGACAGATCTGTGGCAGATCTTGGATTATTGTGTTTGACATATGGGAAAGCTCTGATCAATATGGAAAGGCATCTCAGTGGGTACTTTGAATTGCTCTTTGCTCATGTTATGCACATAAGGCAGGTTTCTCATCAATTTCTTTAAATTCTTTTCTATTCTTCTTTTTAGATACCTTTAACGTTTAGGCTTCCCTGGGCCAGTCCATAACACAGCCCTCCCTCTGTCTGCTACTTCAATTGCAGGAACCAGCAGATGGATTTTCAGGCATAGAAGCAGTAGTGTGTGGCAGCTGAAAAATTCGGACATTGCTTTTGGCTTGAACTAGTCTTGGTACCAATTGAACCATGATGTCCTGAAGTGGAAATAACAGTGTTTTTCAGGTGGTAGGGACTAACTGAGGGACTTCATTTTTAAACAGGTTTTTCTATGTAAAGATAATTGTCTTTGAAACCTCTTGTGTTATACAAGAGCAGGAGAGAGGAATGGTATTCAACACTGTGCTGCTTCTACGTGTCAAGTGTTAAGGATACTTTAAAAGTAAGATTTTAAAAACGTATTTTTCTCAGACATTTGAATTTTTTTGTGGGAGTTAGATTTTTTTTTTCTTGCCTTTCTTCCACATCCCATTATTCTTCCTTTTCTCCTCAATCAAGTGTTAATGAGGAATTCAGTTAAAAAAAAAAATGCAGTGAGGATAAACAGACCTCACAGGCTCCTCATTCAGCTCAGCAGGGCACTAGACCTTAGCTATCCTTCATTTCCCAGTGAAGATGATCAGTTCTGGGTGAGCACTTTCAAAGGGCGCAGGGTTTTTGAAGGTGCTGGGCAGGATGATGGATTGTGGTGTCTGTCATCCTGTGTCCTGCGGAAATGCAGCGGGGGTCTGCGCCGGGGAACTTGTGAAGGGAGGGAGAGGCAGCCACACTCGGCCAGCTGGAAGCCTCCTGCTTCTGTGGGATCTTTTTAAGGGCCTGCTGAACAGTACTCGAGCTCAAGTGTTTTTTAAGAATGGCTGGGAAAAGTCATTTTTTCATAACCACCTCCAAAGCATAATCCCAGTGAGATGGTAAAGATGTCTCGATGACTTCTTCTTTTAAATTCTGGCTTTGTTTTTGAATATTTCAGTTGCACACTAATATATTTATTCCTTCCACAGATTAAGAGGCCTGGGAATATATACATTTCTGCTTTTCTGAGATGCATGCTGCAATATTCCTAAACAACTCACTGTAACTAAATTTTTGTGTATTCACATCACTTGGGACTTATGAAATATTTTTAACATTTAGCCTTTTAATTGGGCTCAGTGTTTTTAAATGTGCCTTTATTTTTGAAATATTTTAAGAGATTGCAGTTATTTACGTATAACATCTTACTATCTTTCTGAATTTTGAATATTGAAATTCCATATTTTCTTCTGTCACATTTGATTATTCTGCGTGTTTGTGTCCATCTCTTTCTTTTCTCTGATTGTAATTTGTGGTCAAGGAACAACTGATGTCATCTGTTGTTAAAGTGCTGTTGTAAAGTAAAAAAACCTTCAAAGAAAATGAGAATTTTACTTAAGTTGAAAAAAACATCCTTTTTTTTTTTTTTTTTTACATTTTGTTATTTGCATTTTCTGCTTGTGATGTTAAAATCTATTCAAAAATGGGAATGGGCTCCTCTTGCCTATTCTACCATTAATGTCAAATACATCAGAGAAATACTTTGATCCAAATTTAAGAGCCCCTTTTTTTACAACTATATTTAGATTTTGGTAAAATAGTCTTTAAAATTTAAACACAGAAATGTAAACTCTACCTAGTGATATCTCATTTACAGATGATGTGGGTAACTACAGCAGAAAAAGATTTTCTAATTCAGAATAAAGAGACTTTAGAAAAGGCATTATTAGGAAACTACTCTGCCACCTTTACAGAAACATCAGATCGAGTTGTTCCAATGGTATTGCTGGTGCAGTGACTGCAGAGGGAGCCACCGATCTGATGGAAACAACAGTCCTGTTCCTGGCGAAGAAATATCAAGGATTTGTGTTCCTGTTTATTTCATGAGAGGCCATGTCAAATCTCAGCTAAAATGAGAACAAGAAGAGCTTATTTTGAGAAGGGATAATACTGTGGTAATTTAGGGCAAGGAAAAAAGAAATAAACAAGATCAGCGCATTTATATAATGTCTGAACCTTCTGAAAATCTTAATAGAAAGAAATAGGTCCACGTCAGTAGAAGAGGAGAATGTCCTGATAGCTGTGTCGGTGCTGGGGTGAAGTTTAGCTCAACCCCAAGGAGCTCATAAGAACTCGTAGCAAACACTGCCCTCTTGCAGATCGTAGTTGTATGGGAGGGATTGGTTGCAAACAGACTTGTGAGGGAGCAATCAGCAGAGCAGCCATCCTGGTGGGCTGCACTCTGAGCCACCTGTTGTACCACACACCTCATCTCCACTTACACAAAGTTCCAGGCCCCTTTCTAACTCATTGCTCTGTAGCGATTTTCCACTTGGATTAAGGCCAGTTATCTTTAACAGAACCAAGAGAAGCAGCAAACTGCAGTGTGGCTACCCAAAGACAGGGCCAGAGAAAGGGAAATGGGGACATCCTTTAAGCTGGGAACCGTGACCCTCCAAGAATGCCAGAACCAGCTTTCAAGAAAACATATGGAGGCAGAATTTGCTACTCAAAGCATTATTAGCAATCCCTGTTGTTTCACAGTTTATCTCCTCTCAAAGCCTGGAACCAAAACATTTCCCATTTCTTTGCTGGGTCCTGTCTTCTTGCCTTTGCTTTGATTATCCTGCTTCATGACTTCCTGCTTATCTAAAAAACAAATGTTGGTTTCTGTGGAACTCCTGCTGTTTGTTTTAACAGATCTTTAATGAAAGACTGAAAGCACTTCAGTATGACGAATCCATACTATTAATTCTAGCTCTGTGGCTGTGAAGTTGTGACTTTGTTACAGATAGGAATGTGATACTTACCCTGCTCCCACTGACTGCTGTTTAGGCTATTGGAAGTCTGGGCAAAGATTCAGGGGAATTCATGTGGCTTAAGAAAAGACAGGCTTCCAGGCATCCAGCCCGTCCCTCAGTCCACTGATTGTAGCAAACAAGTTTTGAAAAAAACTTGCAGGAGAATAAAGTTGTCTCACTCTCTGTAGAAGTCTGAAAAACTTTTTTTTTTCTTTATGTGCAGATCCTAGAAGAAAGTATCATGTAAGGCTGCTGGCATACAACAATATGGAAGAAGGTTATCAGGCAGACCAAACAGTCAGCACTCCAGGATGCGTCTGTAAGTGCTGTAGATGCATGAAGAATTTACTAAGAGCTGAGCTGTTTCAAGGTCCTAGCAGCTCTGTGCTTTTAACCTGTAAATAATCAATTAATTCAGTGTAAAACAGAGAACCAGAAAGATCATATCTCTGACAAATACTATCCTAGTCATCCTGCAATTGAGATAGTTTGCTGTGCTTGTGAAGTGCAGTTGAAGAAACAAGATAGGCCAAACACATTTCCCTTCCCTGTTGGACTGTCTGACAATGATGTATCATGTATCTCATGAGATATTTATCTCTCTCCCTTGTCTCTGTTGATAATTTCGACTTTGCTTTTGACTAAACAGGTGGGACTGCAGAAATAGTATGTGACATGTATGAGGTGAGCAGGGATCTTTAATAGCTTCAACCAGACTCCTGGGTCTGAATACCAGGTAGTGCTGAGTAAGGGCAGATTGGAATTCTAACTGTGGGCTCAGACCTCTTAACATTACCCAGTAAATAATTCCTGCTCCTTTTTCTGTTTCAAACAGCTGTCCGTGATCGCATGGTGCCGCCTCCACCACCTCCTCACCACCTCTATGCCAAAGCAAACACTTCATCTTCCATCTACCTTCACTGGGGGAAACCTGCCTTTACATCTGCACAGCTCATCAACTACACCGTGCGCTGCAACCCCGTGGGGCTGCAGAACGCGTCCCTGGTGCTCTACCTCCAAACGTAAGTGCAGCACTCATAGTGAGCCTTGGTTTGCCAGTTTCCACATCCTTCCCACTCAGGTTCTACTCTTCCTGCCCTCTTTTAACCGTCTTTTACTTGTAACAACTTTTATCTCCCATAGAGGACTGACTGTGTGTTTTGCCCAGTGGCTGCTAGTTCAGTTTTTGTAAGATGGGTTCATGGAACAGCTTATTCTCTACCACTGATCCTTACCTTGGATCATTTGGCTAGCTCTTGATTTTTTTAATGGCTTTTTAGCTGTATAGGTTGAATTTCATTTTAAGTTCTTCAACCAAACCAGAGAGAATACCTATTTTATCGGTAGCTTGTCTGGGCAAAGGTGGCACTTAGTCCAGTGTCTGATTTTAAGACTGGAAGTGAGAATTTTTGAGGGGTTGAGCATTTTATTGTGGGAATGCCATGTTTCTGAGGGTGTGGGGGAAAGCTGAGTAGGATTGCTTGCTTTTCAGAGAAGCAGTGCATGAGCCACAGAGTGGCAGAACAGGGAAGAAAGTCTTCCTAGTCTTGGTGTTTTGGTGTTCTGGGAGCAGAAGACTTTGTTCCATGTGACTGCCCGTGCTGGGGGCTTGTTAAGGGGATCCATGTGCGTGTAGCTGCCTTAAAACTTCAGTTTACTCAAGCCTCTAAATAAGAAATATGCCGTCATAAAAGATAGTTTCCCATCCTAATATTCAAGGTTTTCTCTTCCAAGAACACGTCTGGTGCTGCAGAGCTCCCAACTTACCGATTAGATGCAGTATAAGCACCGTGTAAAGTTCTTAGTGTGTAATATGGAGCATAGCAAGGAGTGCTGCTTTTTGTGATAGGATGAGACTATTGCAAATATCAGTGACTGCCTTTGCACCATGGAAGATGAAACTACTAAATGAGATTTAATAAAGCAGTATCTGTAGAGTAACACCATTTTAAATTGAGATTTAATCTTGACTGAGGTATTATCACCCAGAATTAACCCTGGCATATATGAAAGATTTCCCTCTGCCCCTAGAATCAAAATAAAGTGAAATGCCTACAATTGGCTTTGTGAACAAATCGTAAACTGCAATATTATAATTAATATAATCCATTTTGCAAGAAATAAATTACTAAATGCATCTACAAGATGAGTAGGGAACATTCATATTCTACAGAAATCCCCTAAATGTGGGAGGTGATAGAGGCCATAAATGGAAGAGGACATTGCACACGTAGCCTATGCCTGTCTGTGAACTGAGAAGTGGATCCAGGAGCCAATACCATGTGTCTTATCAGCTGTGATGCTGGTTGCAGTCTGCGTTACTCCAGCTGGAAGCATAGAGTCCTACGGACAAACATGGAAAGAGCTGAGTTTGGGATGCCTGCTGGTGATCCAGACAGTAGCATTCTTGGACTTGCTTGTGCATCAGCTGTTCAAAGAACCTTTATAAAAACTGGAGCTCAAGTCAACTGACAGCAGGTGTAACACCCTCCTGAGAGCTCCAGGGTTAGCCACAGTGAGAATCTGCTCATGTGACCAAGAGATACCATCTGAGTTTGGGATTTTCAAGTCAATTGCTACTGTTAAATTTCTTTTTTTTCCTTCATCTATACAGGTCAGAGACTCATATGTTAGTTCAAGGTCTTGAGCCAAAAACTATGTATGAATTTGCAGTTCGGTTACATGTGGACCAACTCTCCAGTCCCTGGAGTCCTGTAGTCTACCACACTACCCTCCCAGAAGGTAAGGAACTAGGAGAGCACCATGTGGTTCTAAAAAGAAAGCTCTCTAAACCAAATGGCCTGAAAAATTGCTTATTAATTTTAAGCTGTCTGTGGGAGAGAGAAATCCTTTCCTTTGAGATACAGGTAGTGCTCTCTTTGGTAAGATCTAGAAAAATGCTGTCAGGAAAATCCTTGGTTTGGAACTGGGAAATTCTTTTTCAAAATCCACCTTAAATCAGCAATGATTTTCGTATAAAGTGGGATATACTTTCACCATTAGCAACTACTGAGTAGAAGTAACTTGAATATAAACTTTAAAAGAATATATTGAAGAGGTAGGGCTGATTCATAGGCATTATGGAAACATATTTTAAACCCCAGAAGTTTTGGAAACTCTAGGAATATTACACATCTATTGCTCTAGCAGCTGGTTTGCTTTGCTGTCAGCTTGGAAGGGGGAAAATCCAAAACTTTGGTTTCATGTTCTCAGCAATGCAGTGTTTGGGGTGCACCTGTTCACAGGGTAATGAAGTGGGGGGTTATCAGGAACTGTTTCCTTCTGGAGTTGAAGGAAAAAATATGAAATATGAAAATTGCTTTTCCAGAATCTCAGTTATTGACCAGGTCAGAGTTAACAGGATGTCTCCTGAGGAGCAGTGTGTGTTTGTTTATATGTGATTTCTGGGATGTAGCAGTGGCCATTAGGTCTGCACATCAGTTTGGTTCTGAGCAATTTAATTGCATGTAAATTGGGTTAGCCTAATAGCATTGTGTTACTGTTCTCACAGCACCATCTGGCCCTCCAGTAGGAGTGAAGGTGACTTTGATAGAGGATAATACTGCTTTGGTTTCCTGGAAGCCACCTGATGGTCCTGAAACAGTGGTTACACGATACACTATCCTCTATGCATCCAGGAAGTCTTGGATTGCTGGGGAATGGCAAGTGTTGCACAGAGAAGGTAAACTGAAATCACAAACCTATGAACTGAACAAACAATGATGCTGCTTATAAGATGCTTTGTTATTTTCAGCTCCCTTGGGCTACAGTAAGAAATAAATTCGTATATAAATGTTGACATAAAAGTTCTGATTAGTTTAGAGTAATTGCCATGGGAAAATGCATTAAAACCCAGTTCATACTCAGGAGGTGAGGGGAGAAGGGCTGTCTGTGCTGCTCTGGAGCTCAGTGTGGGAACCAGAATGTCTCATAAATCCAATTACATCCATCTTAGTTCAGTTGTAACCATGATTGTGATGGTTTCATTTTGTAAATGCACTCTTTCAAATGTGATGCCTGGCTCTCCAGATATAAATGTATAAATGTAGCTGTGTGGGTTTATATATTTCTGTCGATCACTGCCAATCCAGTTAGCTCAGTTTGCTTAATGAACTTTCCCCTACTCCCAGTAAATTGCTCTGCAAATTCAATTTAATTCTATGGCTCTATTCTACTGCTGAGTCCCAGCTAGCTAATTTAGCAGTACCTCGGGTATGGTGACATGAACTGCAGTCACATCTCTGTGATTAGATGGAGAGATAGGATACATTTTTGTAGGCACTTCTCACAGTAATACTACGATTTGAAGAGCTGCCTCAAGAACAGATTTCTACTTTAGCCAGAAAAGAAAAGAAAAATGCATTTATTGTTCGGTTGATACTCAAAATAAACAGAGGCAGTTCAGAATAGATACTGTTCTAATGATGTCTTAAATCAGAGAGGGAAGCTCAGTGTTACAGAGTCAAGTCGTGTGCTTGAGTAGCCCGTTTAAGAGGATTGCTCGGTAAGAGTTACTGTTTTGTTGTTCTGTGTTGTTACCTGGCTGAAAGCTTAGTTGTCAGCAGAGAGTGAGGCTTTAAATTTTCCGTGGAGAAGATTCCAAAAGCTTAATGAGTATGCTGGCACAGAGGACAGCTTGTGTCATCGCCACTGAGAGTGAACTGGTTTGGTTCAAAGCTGGTGGGTGTCCTGCTCCTGAGGAGAGGATAGAGGACCAACAGCCATTTGGAAAGGTGGCAGTGCTGCTTTGTCTTTGCTGGAGCACAGTGGTATTTGTCAGGCTGGCCCCAAGTAGAATGGTCATCTGCGAAGAATAACAGGGTAATGACTCTTAATCTTCAACAAAATTTGTAAAAAATAACTAGTCTCTGAAATACCAATCAGGTCTAATTATAGGGGGACGATTGAGCCCATGTTTTTTCACTATTAAAATTGTTCAAAGAAACAGTAATATAAATAAAGGTGTCCCACTGAATTGTTGGAAGAAACAGTGATGTGAACTTGTCAAATTAGAAGATGAATTTACTATTAATTTTTACTCGGTAAAAAACCCAGCGGATTTAAATTCACAGAGAGCTTATATTTGAAGAATAAATCTTGTCATTCTGGTGATGATACACTGTATTTGCTGCATGCAGCAAAGTGGCTGAATTGCTTTCAGATATATCCTTCAGCTCAGCCATGCCTGAACATCATCTCTTGATAGTATTTCACCAGAGATTTCGGATGAGGGGATGGCAATAACAGTAAACATTTTCATGTGTTCCCATACTGAAAGAGTTGGAGGGAATCAGCAAATGGAGAGCTATAAATCTTATTACTATGTCCATCAATGTTAGAGTCACAAATTTAGTATACAAATTAGATATATTAGGGTTTGAGGCATGGCCTGGAATTCAGGCATCTTGCCATTAGGACAATCTGTTATGCTCTTAATTAATTACAGGTGAAAAAGTCTGTGAAAGAAAACTAGTATGTAGAGGTAAAATGGGGCAAATACTGTGATAGCCCTGTGACAGTATTTTCATAGGTAATTTGAGACAGAAGCAGGATTTGGGGTTTTTAATGCATTTATTCTGATAAGCTCAGCTAACCCTATGCAATATATAGCATTGTTCTGTCTTGATGCTAAAACTGTTCTGCAGAAGATTTATGAAATCTTGACCCCATTTCAGTCTCATACCTCCAGAAACGTCCCCCTTAAATAAAAAAACTTTAGGAAAACCACCAAACTGAACAAAAAACCCACCATAAATCAACCCTGCCACCTATAAAAGTCCTAGCATGGGCTTTAGTTTAGGAGGAAATTTTCTACCAATCCACCAGTTTAAAAACCAAACCCCTCTAATTTGACTGAGCTTGTGTTAGGCGTGGCAAACTCAAAAAATGTAACTGCAGTTTGTTGCTGATTCAGGATGGGAGTCATCTTCCAGCCACCTCCCCCCCTTCCCTAGCTCTCTTCCAGTGGATAAGAAGTTACAGCCTTTACACACTTGGTGAGCAGTAAATCAGCACAAAGTGCTCACTTGCTTCAGCAATGCAGCAGATTGGAAAGGAGCTGGTGGGAAAGAGCCTGTAATATTGAAATGTGACCTTTAGCCCTTACTGGTGCTAAATATTACAGCTCCTTTGGTTGCAGATACCTCACATTTTACTTCAGATGCTTTCAGCTAATGGTTTTTTTCTATGCAAGAGCTGAAATAGCTTTGGAAGTAGCTTCCTTTTTGCCAAATGTATAATCTTTTCTGTCAACAAAACAAGCTCATATTTTATGTAGGCTCCCATGATACTATAAATTCTGGCTTTTCAAACTGATTTAAAAGGTTGAAATTTTGATTTAAGTCTGAGAAAGTGAATGGAATATATGAAAGAGAACAAGAGAGAGATTTGGTCCTGTAACTGCCACTATTTAGGAAAGAAAAGCAGCATATTTCTATGGTAGCAAGAAACACAGGCATTTTAGAAATGAACTGGAATTGTAAGCAGTAGTCTGCAGTCCCTGGGCAGGCAAAGCTCTCATTGAGTTTGATAGGAGTTTTGGCTGTCTAAGGACAATGCAAGTGAATCCTATTTATGTTCTTAATCTCTTTTCCTGCCTTCAGGGACTTTAGGAAATGAATCCCTAGCATGTGAAAAAGGCATTTTCTATAATATTCTTAGTAGCACAGCTTAGATGCACAGTAATCAAAGAAGCCTACACAGGTCTAAATAGGGCTTAATTTTATTTTAAAATTGTGGTATAATATACTCTTGCAAAGCTGTCCTGTTCATTAAACCAACTACATCTGAAATCTGATAAAGTGAACCTGAATTCTTTTGACAATTTGCATTCACATTCATGGTACAGTGGATTGAGGAGAGGCACATATGAGAGAGGTCTTTCTTTCTGCTTTTGCTGCCTGAGAGTCTGTTTATGAGCTTGGCTCATCTGCTCACAGATCTGATCACAGCATAAATGCTATCACACTGAAATGCAGCTCATGGCAGATTTAGGATTAGTGTGCTGTGTGTTGTACCCAGTACTGACTCTTGGCAGTTCACGGTGTGCTGTGTTCAAGCAGGATGGAGAGAAAGGACAGAAGGGACAAGAAGGCAAAGCCCAGTGTTCATTCTGTTCCTTGTATATGCAGGTTAGAACGTATCAAAGTGATCACAGTCCTCAAACAAGATTTGCAGGTGGTATTGGAAGGAAAGTGTAGGTCCCAGTGTCTAAATCTCAGTCTGTTCCCACAGATTTTGTCTGAACTGGAAATGTCTATCAAATCTTTTCATAGGAGCAATGACCATGGCTTTGCTGGAAAATCTTGTAGCAGGAAACATCTACTTGGTTAAAATAGCAGCCTCCAATGAAGTGGGAGAAGGACCCTTCTCAAATGCAGTGGAATTTGCTGTCCTGCCGAAGGAGACATCGGAGTCTAATCAGAGACCTAAACGCTTGGATTCCGGAGATTCCACAAGTCAGTAGCAATGTTTGAATTACAGCTGTCACAAGTATTGGGGCAAAACTGTTTGTTTTAGCATTCTGTTTTATGTGAGGCAGTCCTAACAGTGAAGCATTTTCTTGTTCTGAATGAAATTATTTTTGGATTTTTATCTCAGTTCGACACAGAGCTGGTTTACTTGCTCAGAAGTTGGATGTTTGCCTATCAAATGACAATACATAACTGGTTTGAATTTCACATCAGTATCAACTTTGTAGCCACTCCTCTATGGCATTTCCTACAAGTCCTTTCTCTTGAGATACCAGTAGCACTGGGTCCATCCCAAGAGGCAGTCCCTTCCTCCCCTCCCACACCAGCACTGCACTGACCAGACTCTCCTCTGTTTGGTCTATGAGTTTTATTTTCAAAAGTGTCAAAATCTATGACAGAGAAGGCCTGGAAACCTCATTAGAAGGAAGCATTTGTCTCTGTGGTTGTGACTGTAACCCTGTTAATTTCCTGACAAGGGAGCAGGGGTTAACTCTTCTTATTTACTGAGCCGTTCTATGTTCTTTTTTGATATAGCTTATTCTGACTATTACCATCTGGACCAGAAATCAATGACTGGCATTGTTGTTGGGGTTTGCATAGCCTTGACCTGCATCCTTATCTGCATCCTGATCTTAATTTATCGAAGTAAAGCCAGGTATGTTTTTGTTCTTGAAGAATGAGCTCTTTCTCAGGGCACTCATTCTTGGGATGTGCCTCCTCCTCCAAGAGTGCTAAGTTCTCTGAAGTACTCTGTCTCTTCACCTGTTTCTACCAGCATTGAAAACAAAGCCACTTTGTTGGCTCTTCCTACTCTACCTGAGCCCCTTCTCCAATGAAAAGGAGGAAGAACCCACAGAGTGAGTCAGTGGTGGTGCTTTGGCAAGGAAGTATGAGGCATGTTTCCAAATGCAAACCCCCCTTTGAGTCAGATGAGCATGCTGCTGTCCATCATCTGCTCTTCCTGCTTAACCCTCCAGCCTGCCCAGGCCTGGTTTGCAAGGCTTTAACCCCCCTGGGTGTTGCTGGACAAAAGGAACTCCAACATAAAGCAGTTCCATGATGCAGTTTCTACAGCAGATCCATGATGGAGTTTCTTTGCAGTGGTGCAAGCCACCATCTGTCTGTCTGTCATCAGCTGCTATAGGGTATAAACTGGCCCGGTGACTGCCCAAAACTCTGGGATCAGAATAAATATAAGTTACTTGAAATAATAAATTAAAAACTCTTTAACAGTGTATTTCAGTAACAAGAGCTTTTTAGCATTCATACAGGAAAAAATATGGGTTGGGAGACAGTCTCTGTGTAGCATGATAGAAAGGTCTTAATATCATTAGTGGTTACTTCCTCCAAGTAATATTACTAATCATGACAATTCCTGTCTGCTCATAAGCTTGTAGCCTACTGTGTATGATTAACTGGAAGCAGATGTTATTTTTATCGCAAGCAATAACATTTAAATTCCATGTGAGTTAGGAGTATCGTATGACAAAATGTAAATGCCAAGAGTATACCAGTATTACTGGATTAATAATAGCTTTGAAGTTTATCCTTGATTTTTTTTTATTTTATTCCTGTGGGTCAATTTTATTCCTGCTTAACATTGTGTAGGAAAACATCTGCTCCTAAGCCAGTGCAGCAAAACACTGACCAGCTGTCACATACCAGCATCTCATTAGCCAGTGCTAATGAGGTGGAGAAGAATATTGAAGGAATTGCAGAGAATGAAGAATCCTTATTGCCAATGATAGTGGGAAACAGCTTCATCGATGCTAAGGTACTGTGAGCTTGACTTGCTCCCAAATCAGAAATCTTCCTTTAGAATTCATTACTATAAGATCAGAGTCCTTATCAAATGTAAAATATGTGTACTACAAACCCCCGCAAGGTTTTTTGTTTAATGGGACAGGTTTGGCAATCCAGGCTCAAATTTTCAAGACTTATCTGAAAGTTCAGCTAGAGCTCTGGTTCAGACTTGTCTTACACTGTACTCTGCAGATTGCAGTGTTTGGCTCTGGCACAACATCAAAGGACAAAGGCTCCACAGACTCGAGGCTGCTCGGTGGCCTCTGTTAGTCCAAGGAGATAAGTGAGAGTCCTTGTCAGCACCCAGCTCAGCAAGTGCCTGTGCACAGTCTAGTCAAGTGTGACACTGAGCAGCTATTAAAGAAAGAAAATATTATTTTTCCTCTTTATTTACTGGAAAGACAATGTTACAGTTTATAAACTCATATTTGATCAAACTATAAATTAGTCTAGATGGCAGGATTTAGCAGTGGATGAACAATCTTAAGCCCAGGAGTCCAGTGTGGCAAAACCACAGTGGCCTTCCTTTCACATGCAGACGCAGTGAATTAAGGCTTGTTCTGTTCACACTGCAAACTTGAATGGGGCTGCTCCCTGAGGATATATGCAAGAGCTGGGGTGTGGAAATGGACCCCAGTAAGGGCACAGACACTCTGAATGGGAATAGTTTAACATCCAAAGTAGTAGGGCAAGAGCAGCAGCTAAAATATTTTGCTGTGTCTGCAGTATTACAGCTGTTGGGCCTGGAAGGTGGGCTTAGTGGATCTGTTCTTGACTTGTCTCGAGCAGATGAGTATCAGACCACAAAAACGTGACTCAGCACTGAGACTTCATTTGTCTTAATTTTCAGTATGGAGCCAATACGTAGGAATAGAAAAATATTTTCAAATATCTTAGAAATTTACTTTATTAAAATAAATGTCTGCATATTCCTCTGTTGTAGGGAGGATCTGATCTGATTATTAACAGCTATGGGCCTGTGACAAAGGCTAACAGCAAGAAAAGGTGGCTGTTTTTCCAAGATACTAAGAAGGTGAAGACTGAGGAGGTAATTGCTCTAATGGGCAGAGGTGCACAATCTTTACTGTAATACCCTGTGTTTGCAAAGGAAGATATGGTGTTTTCTATTTATGAAAAAGCGTAATTAATGGTCTAAGTTTTAATTGAGTAGTTTCAGTTATGTTAAGGCTGATGGTGTTCTATCTCATAGTAAAGTCTTATGAATATTTAATTTCCTGACAGATATTATCAGGACACTGTAACTCTTTACAGTTGTCAGATACTGCAGCTCTCCACAGTTAACTGATCACTTTCTTGCCTTTGCCCTTTTATCTGTGAGCAAAGGGATTTCTGTGTACTGGGTCTGTACATCACACGTACTACATCTGCAGAGGCTTAGTATAAACATAAATACAAATTAAGTATGTATTTACAAATAAAAATAATATTAAAACATAGACAATCCTCTCCTACCCTGACAGCTAAAACTTCTGTTTGCTGAAGAGAAACAAGAGGGAAACTAAATGATATGCCCAAAGTACTGAGGAAATTGAGAATTTGAGTAGAACTGTCTGGCTTCTGAAATTATTGCCAATTAGCAACATTTGCCATTTGGTTGAGAAAAATAACAGTTTAAAACTGAAGTGTTCAACCAAACCTGGAACATTGTAATGCAAATTCACACCTGTGGAGCATCTAACTACTCTTTGTTTCATTGTAACTTGTTTTGTGCTCTTACATGTTTAATAAATAGAAAGTCTTGATATCCATATTGTAAATTCATATTCAGAAGTATTTCCAGAAGCAGCTGTGTATTTCTGATGCCTCTATATTTGCTACCACCCAAGGAGTAATTCTTAAAGAATATGCATGAGTGGACAGAAGAGAGCTCTACCAAGTGTGTTTTTAAAACACTGTTCAGGTCTCTGCAGTGAAATAATTTTTGATTACCCATGCATCTCTAGAAGGATTATTTCATCTATTATGGAAGAAAAAAGTATGAGCAAGACTTGAGACTGATTCTTCTTAAACTCCTGTAGGAAAGCCCTGGTTGTTCTGAGGCAGTGCTGTTAGGATCACTGGTGGAATAGAAGGCAGGAAATGCAGTAAAAATTCAAATTATGGCTCAGCTTTTCAGAGGTTCAACAGCCCTTCTGTCTCTCTTTCTGTGTAGCCTCCGAGGAGGTTTGTGCAGGCAGTGTGTCTGTACCAGCCCGGCCCCACCGTCCTGGTCAGCGAGGACTCCCCCGGCTCTCCGGGCCAGCCTCCCAACTTCCAGGTGCCGTTCGGCATCGCTGCCGACACGGAGCATTCGGCCAACAGCGAGGGGAGCCACGAGACCGGCGACTCGGGCAGGTTTTCTCATGAATCCAACGATGAGCTACATCTCTCCTCTGTGACCGGCGCCACCCCTCCCGCCAGCAGTCCTTTCGTGAGCAGTGACTCGGGTACGAACGTGATGAGCCCGGCCGTGAGTGACTGCACAGAGTCTGCTCTGCTGTTTGCTGCTGACCAGACTCCTACCTCACCTCAGATCCACCCTGCAGTGCAGAACTGACATCCTGGGGCCACGCCAGACATTCTGACAGTGTATGTCTGTTCGAAGGACAATGAACAGGGAGCCAAAGTTTTATTGTGGAAAGCCTGACTAACCTAGCAGGTGATCCATATTTCTGTTGAATGTTTGTTTTTTTTCTTGCTTTATTTTGGTTTGGTTTTTTTTAAACTCACTCATTTTGAATGTTCAGTGGTCAAAAAATGTGAAAGGAGTGAAGATTTCTAACTAAAGTTAAAAATATGTCACTGGAGCAAAGGGAAGGCTGTCGGCCCTTTTGCTGACTATCTACCTCAGTTTGCCGAGAGGTGAACTCTGAATGACGACTGCTTTACCTCATTTGTGTTCTAGTTGGTCTCAGCTATGGAACTGATGATACTTCCTAGTAGTGTTTTATTTTGAGTTTTTTGGTTTTGGTTTGGTTTTTTTTCCCCCCCAGTTGTGTGTAGAATGTGTGTGTGTATGAGTGTGTGCATATGTATGTGCTCAGTGATCAGGGAGTTGTATAGGTTGGTGAACAAGATTGTTTAGCTGAAGCTCTGTCTTTGAAAAGAAGGAAACCTCAGAGTATAAAAGGTTAGGATTTAATGTGGTTGACACAGAGTATGTTGAAAACTGGAGCTTCCACATATAGAGCCACATGAAATCTTTTGTACCTCTTGATTTCTTATAACCCCAGTAAGCCTAGGACAGTGCCTTTCCCCCAGAAACCTGTGCCAGCAACTGCTGACAGGATGTTTGCTATATCCTTAGGGCTCTGGGACACGGTGGATTTCCCACAGTGTGACAAATGTTGCCCCTTTATTCACAGTTAATGCTAAAAAGCATGGCAAAATGAAGAAGTACTCAGCATTTTCAAACAGTGTGGCTCTGCCTGACAGTCATGGAAAAGATAATAATGCTGAGTATTCCAGTATCACAGAACTTCTTAGCAATGGTGCCTTCCATTATATATTATGAAATTACTGATTTGCCTTATGCCTTTTTAGTATTCATAAAGTTGCTTTGGAGTACAGAAAGATGCCTTAAATTCTTCTTAGATGTTTTAAGTAAACTGTATCATGAGTTTATAGTTCATTTTTGCCCAGCTTTGAGTGCTGATAAGCACTGCTAGCATTGTAATACGTCTCAGAGCTGTTGTTAGAATGCAATCCTGCTCCTTGCCTTCACCTAGTGTGCTATTAGCCAGGAATTTTAGCTCAGGGAGTGACTTTACCCATATGCCAGTCTAAAACTCTTATTATGCTACCATGAGAAATAAAAAAGCCAGAGCTTTAGTTGAAGAGTCTGTTGAAAGAGGTGAGTACTGCTACTGCCTCGAACCCATGCAATTCCTGTTTTATACTACCTCCTTTAAAAATTATTCTAGTGTTTTTTTGGGTTTTGTTGATGTTGTTTTTTCCTGTACTCAGGGAACAGTTTGTTACTTTTAAGCTGCCTCACTGAAACGTGGAGCAAACTGACAGGGTATCGTTTTGTTTTTTAATAGGAGAGAGCGAGAGACAGGGAGGGGGCTGGAATCATCCAATGTTAGAAACTTGCCTGTATCTGTATCCAGTCTTCTTCTCACTCCTCCTCTTTCTATGTTTTACTTAAACAAAGAAAAAAAAAAGAAAAAAAAGGAAAGGAAAGGAAAAAAATTAGGCATGTTTTTACTCAAAGAAAATGTTTAAAATGTATTGTGGTGAGAAATCAACCATAGGAACTCCTGGCTCTCTTTAAGTCTGTGAGAACTCCACTGACTTTACTGGGGCTGAGATGTCACCCTCCAGGTAGGCCAGGCTGACCTGTGTTGTTCCTCATTCTCAGCAGGAGGTCAGAAGCTATTGGTAAGCCCTACTCTTCTGGCTGGTTTGTAAGGAGGAATCTGGCTTTGGCTGCTGGAGTTCTATTTGGAACTGTTTGCTAATTCACATTCACCTTCCATAACAGCGTTGATTCAAATGCTTTAAAAATAATCTCGTACCAAAGACTTTTCTGTAGAAGAGAAGGAAGCCACATATTGTCCAAAAATAATTAAACTAGGTAAAAAGCTATAGGTTTGAAGAGCTGAATACATTTTATTCTATAAGTAGTTACTAACAAAAACCAATAGGGCTTCTTGATTGTAGTGGCCAATTGCATAGGTGAGTTGTATGCTTCTACAATTTTAACTACCTTGTTGTTACAAGAGCCTTTAAAGAAAGCTATAATACCAGCAGATGTCTCCAAAGAATTCCAAGTGTAATTTTTTTTCTCCAGCATGTAGTTGATTAACAATACAGTATTAAGAAAAATATTTTTGAACAGTTTTTTATCTACTTGCTGAAGAAAAAGAAAAACTTTTCACCAAAGATTTATTTTTGGTCTTGTCAGGCAGAATGTTTAGTGTACAGCAGAGTATCTGTTTCTAGTTAGGTAAAGTGTGAATTAATCAGAACTAGAGTAAGAATGTGTAACTGTAGCATGAAGTTTCACACTTCATCTTTCAGAGTAGCCTCTTTTGTTAGTCTCATTCAGAAAGAGCTGATATGCAGATGGTAACTGCTTCTCCAAAGACTTGTTTGCTGTAAGTACTGGTAATCAGATGTAATTTTATAACCTTCATTACAGGTAAATACTATAAATCCTCTCTGCAGTTCAACCTATGGATAATTTGAGTGAAAAAGACTTCATATAAAATCTGTCAATCTTCTATAGATGCTCTAAGTTCAATAAGCCAAAGAGTTGAAAATACTCAGTGTATTACAGACCAGAACTCTATTCATCACTTAATGTTTTATCAAGGTACTTCTTATCAGCAAATAAAGAAAACCAAAGATATTTAAGGTTACCTCAGCATATAGGCAAGCTTAGTTAGGCATTAATTATTCTGTCTTTTTCTTTATTTTTATGTTAACCAAATATAATACACTTCTCCAGAACCCAGTCTACATTCATGTGCTTCCCTTTGGCACAGTCACAATTGCTAGAGAACAGAAAATATCCTCTCTTCAAAATTTCTAGCCTAGCAGTAATATATCCCAAGATATCGTGGTAGAAAATTTGTCTCACAATTGAAAACTCCAACAATTTAAGCAAGGAAATCTCCAGAAAAACTGTGTAGAAATCAATACTTTATTTATTGATCTCAGTAGCAGAATCAATCCTTCATGGTTGTAGCAGTGCAGAAATGGGCTCAGGGTTTAAATGCTTCATATCCTTGAAGCCAGTACATGTAATTATGAATATGGTATTACAGATAATAATTTTCTTAAAAATTTGTACCTGTGGCTGTCTAAGGAAAGGAGTTTTTTAATATGAAAACCTTTTCATTCCATTTGCCTAGAAAGAGCTGGCAGACTGGTTTCAGGTTTTCCAAGTTGTTTTTTTTTCTTGCTTATGTCTGTAAACTGGATCCTGGAGAAAAAAACTATCATTTCTTAATTATGAATTTTACTAAATATGTTCTGGAAGATGAACATAAATGTGGAATTTAGTGTTACACTATGTGAATTGATTTTGTTTAACTGTACTGAGAACTAAGGAGCCATGGCTGGTGTAATGAGTGTATATGCAACCTTTGTGTTTTAAAAAAAAAAGAGCAAAAATTATGGGACTTGAAAACATCAAAACTTACAGAGGAAACCTTGAAAGCTGACTTACCATGCTAAGTGTGTTTCTAAGTTAGGACTCTGCCCTTCAGCTGCAACAGCAATGCCTGTTCTGCAGAACCTGGATCCAAAACTAAATACTCAATCTGCCCACAGTTACACTTGAGTACTTTCTTCATATTTAACAAATAAAAAGTATTCTCATCTTTCAGGATTTATCTAAGAAAATTGGGAATGTGTATGCTGTGTAGAACAGGGCATGTCAGTTGATTGGTTTTTAATAGTTCTGCTTTTGTAAGAGAAACCTAAAAAAAAAATCTACATATCACTTTCAGTAATTTCCTATATTAACTCTGCATTTTCTGTATAACTGATGAGATTTTTAACAGAAAAGGGTATCAAGAGATTGCTTTGCCTGGTTTTAATTATTCTTATAGTTCATTCTCTGGGTTTAATCCCATGCTTTAGACTATGAGCTTCATCTTCTTTGCTTTATTCAAATCAGGGCCCTCATCCTTTTTCTGTTTAAGCCAATGGGAGAATTAATTTGTATTTCAGTTTGCATAGTCAGGACAGACAAAATAAGCTTATTGTTTGTTTGTTTTTTAAATCTCCACAGTATTATTGTTCTAGAATGACAGAATTCTTAAATGGTTAAAACTCCCACTGGCAAATGGGTTTTTGGAAGATAACAAGTCACCTGCATAAGAGGTCCACTGTAACTCTCCATGAATCCAGTCTTAGCCTGCAGCTGAAGTCAGTTTACCTCTTTTTCCTTGCAAATGTGAATGACTTACCATTTGCTGCAGCCTGGGTGTACACAAGCATAGTTACCAAGGGCTGCTGGGTCTCAGTAAAACGTTACACTGAGCCACCTTGTAAGGCCTAAGACCAGGAGCTCTTGCTCATTTTATTTGTTAAATAAAGAAGTTCATGCAGGAAAAAGTCCATCTCCTAACATGGGGAACATTGGTAGGTTTGTAGGGCACTCCATGTTTAGCCCAAAATCCCATTCACACCAACCAAAGAGAGCTGCACAGATGTAACACTGGTGGTATTTCTCAGAAATCAATTTACTGACAGTATTCTCATAAAATTGAAAGGAGAATTACACTTAGTAATTGCTGCAGTGGTTCTTAGCTTGAACAGTTGTTACACACTGTACTGGTTGCTACAACTGCAGCTCTGCTAATACCAGGCAATTCTTAAAGCAGAGGGATTTGACTGTCTGCAGGAAATACTGAGCATCTTTCTATAATAACATTATATAACTATATTTTGGAACATGTGTTTCAAAAAATACTGTTCTTCAATACACGTTCAAACCCAAATTGCTTTCTGTTCATAGGGGCCCATATGAAAAGAACACAAATTCAATTTGGCTCAAATGTAAGTTTATTTCTTTGGAATTCCTCTGTATTTATGCTGAGA